CCAGCACCCCCCAGCCTGGGGGAGTCAGGGGAGCCTGCAGCCCACCCGGGACCCAATGTGGGGACCGGCACCAAGAACGAGAATGTTTCTACCTTGTCCGTGAGCTCCCTGGAGGTGAGGGGAACAGGGGTGGGCTGGACCCTAGCCAGAGAGGGCAGGTGGGTCGCTGTGGGCTTGGGCTGCGACAGCCAGGGCCACCCCTGCTGGATGGGACCTCCATGGCTGTCAGCGGAAGGGATATAGGCCCGGGCCAAGCCAGCTGGCCTTGGCCTGCACCACTGGCTAGAGGCAGGGCCTGGCCTGGGACCCAGTCATGACTGCTCTGCCTTCCAGGAGTATCCTCCAGACCCTGCTGGGCCCTTGTGACAGGGGGCTCACATGCAGCATGTACAGAAAATGCCTGTCACGTGGTCCTCACCTGGCAGGTGGTTATACCCCATTTCAGAAGGGTTCAAGGGCCTCCAGTCTGGACCTACCAAGCTGGACTTGTGTTGGTGTGGGTCTCCCAGTCCTACCCACTGGGCAGCTGTGGCAGCATGTCCCTGCTTAGAACAACCCGAAACTTGGAGTTGACCCCAGACCTCACTCAGCTTGCAGGATGTGGGTTTCAGAGATGGGGTGGCACTTTTGGGGAACTCCTCCCCTCCCCAGGACCTGCTTCCACCTCCTGGTTCTCAGCCTCTGGCCAAGTCACCCTGAGTACCCAAGTTCTCTGTTGGGGAGCCTAATCACACAGCTCCTAGTTCAGGGCCCCTTGACCCTGGAGAATGTGTCCTGGGCAGATGCGCCGCACACCACTGCCCAGCCCTGGCACTGCTCCCTGACACCCAGAGTGTAGCTAGAAGAGCTACCCCAAGGCAGGCAGGTCTCTCTGAGCTGGAAGAGAAGGACGAAGGCTTCTACAGGGTCACCTGGCTCACAAGGACCTCAGACTGACTTCAGATGACCTAGGGAGAGAGGCACTCCCCTGGGATAGCCCACCAGCCGTCTCACTGTCATCCTGTGCCTTACACTTCTGACTGTCTCACTGTGGCCCAGCAGTCCCACCCACTGCCCTGAGCCCCCATAGGGAGGGTGGTGTTTCCAGGAAGGGGGTAGCCTACTGGAGCCTGGGCACTCAGAGTGTACCCCAGAGCCATGTCCCCAGGTCTAGCCTGGACCCTGAAGACAGATGTGGGGTGAGGGGGTCCCTGCTCTCCCTCACTCTCAGGCAAGGAGAGGCCTAGACTTGTGGTCGGGAGATTTCAGGGAACTCTTTGCAAATGCTCACAAACCCCTTCCCCCCACAGCGGCGGAAATCACGGTATGCAGAACTGGACTTTGAGGTGGGTCCTTGTGTCCCTCCCCCAGACCTTAGGGCCAGATATGTTCTGAGCTCTGCCACTGCCAGGCAGCTCAGGCCATTCCAGCAGACGAGGTGGGGGTGGAGTCAGGACCTGGGGGGGCTTGAGGCCAAGTGTCCAGGAGCCAGGGGCGGGTAGGGCAGGGGCAGGCCGGCATCCCTCCTCCTAGCCCAGGACTTACTGCCCACGCCCTCCTCCCCCACCTGCAGAAAATCATGCACACCCGGAAGCGGCACCAGGACATGTTTCAGGACCTGAACCGGAAGCTACAGCATGCTGCAGAAAAGGACAAGGAGGTGCTGGGCCCGGACAGCAAGGTCTGGAGGGCAGGGAGTGGGAGGGGTTTGGGGAGCCAGGCCTTTAGGAAAGGTTGCCTCTTCCCTTCTCCCCTTGCTTCTGCCCACTTCATTCACTCATTCGTTTGACCGTCCCCAAGGACTGGCCTGACCTGGCCATGCCAGGGTCATGCAGGTGCAGAAAGTCACATGTACTTTTTGCCATACTGGGGTGCTGAGCAGGCAGGAGCCTGCTCCCGGGACTGGGTCCTGACTGCCACAGGGACTCCAGGCTGCCCCTCCCTGCAAGGCCCCCAACTCTGACCTGATCCTGGGGACTGCAGCCATTGCTAAGCCTGGGGCTATGATCTGCACACACTGCTGCCCACCTCTGTTCTGGGCTCTTCCCCTGCAAGCCTCCCACATTCCCCTGTCTCCGGTCCCTTCCTCACTCTCTCAATTCTATTCGTGTCTGCCCCGTCTCTCCCTCCTCCTTGGGCTTTGTGGCTCTTCCACTGGGCCACCCACCCCTTCTGCACCACCGGGCTACCAGCAGCCAGAAAAGCAGCAGACACCCAACAAGCGACCCTGGGAGAGCCTCCGGAAAGCCCATGGGACGCCTGCGTGGGTGAAGAAGGAGCTGGAGCCACTGCAGCCTTCACCACTGGAGCTGCGCAGCGTGGAGTGGGAGAAGTCCGGAGCCACGATCCCGCTGGTGGGCCAGGACATCATCGACCTCCAGACTGAGGTCTGAGCGGGCGGGCGGCAGCCACGCACCGGGCCACAGAGGAGGGATGCTGCTCTGCCCGCTCCTGCCGCAGGACGGGCACAGACACACTCGTGGGCAGCGGGCCAGGCCCGCGCTCCAGCCTCAGGGCGCTCGGACAGCGGCCAGGCACAGGGCCCGCAGTGCTGGGACCAGAGCCAGACGGAGGACAGGAGGTGGCCCGGCTGGCGGGCACAGGGCTCCAGAGGCCCCAGGTGCCTCAGACTCTGCCCTCCTCGGGCTGAGCCCCGGCGGGCAGGCGGGCGGCTGTGGACCACAGACAGGCCTAGCGCGGCCGCCGTCCCAGGGTGCCCGCCCGAGCTGCCGCTGAAGAGGACCAGCCTGCTTGGCCCGGCCGGCCTGGCACCGTTTTTTAGACACCCCCACCCCTCGGGAAGCAACCAGCCCCCTACACCTTCCAGGGCCCTGGGCCCCTCCTAGACCCAGGTGGAGAGCACAGCCCTCTGACCCGCGTGGCCCCCAGGGGAAGGACTGAGCCCCCTCCAGGAAGAAGCAGGGGGGAATCTATTTTTTCTCTCCTTTTCTTTTCTTCAATAAAAAGAATGAAAAACCCACTTTCTCTCTGTGTGGCCTTCCTCCGTGCAACACGCAAACCCTCACCTGGTCCCGGCCTGCTTGGGGGAGCTTTGCCGACTGGCCTTGGGGTGTCCCTTGTTGCTGGGCAGGGAGAGCCGAGGGAGGCCAGGTGGGCCCTGCAGTTTCTGCCCTGGCCGGGCCTGCCTGTCTCCCAGCCCAGCAGTCATGTGGGCCTCAAGGGGCCCCATCTCCCAGGGCGCTGCAGGAGCAATCGGGGAACCACAAATGTGGGTGCCCCCTTGCTCCCTTCTGTCCCCTTCTCAGCACTTGGGCTTCACGCAGCTCATAGGCCCTCAGCAGGAACACATTTGACTTCCCTTGTCCCCTGGGTCATTTTCAGGAAGGACAAAGTCAAAAAAGCGGATGTTAAAAAACAATCTGAAACAGTAAAAAGAGATGCAGGGTCTTCGAGGGAGGAAGGTGCCTTGGGGCCTTAGGATCCCCCCCTTACTGCTGAATTTGGGGGCCCCCAATCTTGCAGACTCCTGCCCTCCTCTGCTCCCACCTTGGTCCTGGGACAGGCACAGGCCTGGGTCCCCTTGTCTATTGCTGAGGCGCTTCCTGTTCCTCGGCCTGGGTCTTTCCGGTCCATGGAGCAAGTGCATGTGAGCACTCCTAGACGCCCCCAGCCCAGCAAGAGGTCCTCCCTGTTCCCCCCCAGCCTCCCACTCCCTGTTCTCTAAGGAGCTTTGAGATGCTCCTCCTGCCTCTCTCCAAGTCTCCAGCAGGGGGCAGCCTGAGCCCCCACAGGGAGTCTAGCTGGGTGGGTTGGAGGGGTGTGCAAAGCTGGGGGAATGCCAGGCAGTCACCCTCTCCCAGACTGTATCCTGAGGGACCAGGAGGAACACGTCATAGAACCTGGGCCTGGACAGGCAGCAGACAGACCCCACGGGCCCCCTCCTCAAACCCTGCAAACCCCTTTTCTAGCTAGAGGCTGAGGACAGAGGCTGCTGGGCCTGAGGAGGGAGGACGTGCGGGGTGGGCTATTTGGAGGCCCCAGCACCACCCCAAGATTATGCCCCCCAACCATGTCATTCAAAATGAAAGCAATGCCAACTCAAGCTGCAAAGCGGGTGCAGGCTGACACAGGTCCCCACACCAGCTGGCCTGCGCCTTGTCACTCCCACTCCCACTCACTGCCTGCCAGTCTCACTGTGTATGGACATGCCTGTGACCCAGAGAGTTCTCGCCAGGAGGGGGCATGGGACAGCGAAGGTGTTTGGTGGGTGCAGTGACCACAGTGACTACAGTGAATCATGGATGACCATAAGTGACCACAAGTGACCACACTGGTGGATGGTGAGTGGATGACCGAAAGGGAGGGCAGTGTGTCTGCAGTGACCCAGAGGAGATGGGACAAAGCCCCTTGGATACTGGCAGTCAGGAAGCACAGCCCCTGAGCCACAGATCTGAATACCTCCCCAAACAGAATATTTTGGCAAAAAAAACCTGACCAAAACTGAGTTGTGCTATATATAGTTCCCTTGAACCACTGGATGCACATGTGCATAGGTTTTGCTGCAGGGATGTCGATGCATTTTAATATGCCCCCACCTGGGATGTTAAGTGAAATGTGCACACACAGCTGCCATGTCTCTGAACCCAGACAGATCCTGGATCGCAGACCCACCTGACCCCAGGGTTTCAGATGGGAGGCTGTGGACCACCACCCCTTCCTCATCCTAAGTTACAGGAGGAAGCTGGGGGGTCCCTGGGAGCAGGCGGAGAGAGCACTGAGCCCCAGCTCCCGTCCCGCAGGAGGCAGCACAGAGCATAGCGCAGGGTCTGGAGGGCTGAGCTTCCGCTCAGTTTTCCATTGTCCTTGTGGAGTGTCTGGAGCATTTCTGGCCAGCTCCCTCCACCTCCTCAGCCCCTGTTCATACCCAGCACCACCTATAACAGGAGAAGCTGGAATAAAACAAAACAGAAAACAAGAAGAACCTAAGCCTCACATTACCTAAGCCTCAGAATAGGGTGAACTGCTGGGATTCGAGATCAGCCTGTGACCAGGGTCAGGGCTTAGTCTGTGACTAGGACCAGGGTTTAGCATGTAACCAGGATCAGAACTCAGTGTGTAATCAGGGTTAGGGCTCAGTGTGTGACCAGGGTCAGGGCCCAGCCTGTGATCAGGGTCAGGGCTCAGTGTGTGATCAGGGTCAGGGCTTAGTAAGTGACCAGGGTCAGGGCTTAGGGTGTGATCAGGGTCAGGGCTCAGTCCTCAGTGTGTGATAAGAATCAGGACTCAGTGTGTGACCAGGGTCAGTGCTCAGGATGTAATTATGGATAAGGGCTCACCAGGGTCATGGTTCAGTGTGTGACTGGGATCGGGGCTCAGTACATGCCCAGGGACAGTCAACTTGTTACTAGAGTCAGGGCTTAGTATGTGACCAGGGTCAGGACTTAGCATGTGACCAGAGTCAGGACTCTGTCTGATCAGGGATCAGGACTCACCAGGATCATGGCTCATTGTGTGACCAAAATCAGGGCTCAGTATAGCCAGGGTCAGTCACTTTGGGACCAGCGTCAGAGCTATGTCACCATGGTCAAGACTAAGTCTGTGACCAGAAACCAATTTCTCCTCCATTACAGTTCCTCCCTTCCGGAAAGCCATGTCTCTGTTGGGAGAGGCCAAATTGCATGTCCAGCCTCGGTCCCAGTGTTCGCAGCTGTTCAATAATACATGACCTCCTCTCACAGTGACTCATCACAGAAATTGCTGTCTGCTCCCTGTCTCTCAGAGCAGGAAGCCAGTCAGTGATGGTCCCACAAGATTCATCAAAACCCTTGAGCCCTGCTTGGGTGTACTCCTGTCATCTTCCTGTGGTGACCCTGTGCTGGGCAGTGCTTTGGGCCAGGGCCATGGTGATGCTCTGAGCTAGGACAGGCACCTCTCCCAGGACTCCAGCTGGTTTCCCTCTCTGCTTGGTCCAGCTCCTCAGAGTGATGTGCTCTTGACACTGAGCAAGGCAGGGGCCATGATCCTAGCTGTAGGTGAGGACACTCAGACTCAGGGAAGCCAAGTGATACTGCCTGTATCCCACAGGCAGTGAGGGTGAGGCTGCACTTGGAACCTAGACCTCCTGGTTCTAATTCCTGGACCCTCCCAGCCTCCACAATGGGTAGATGGCAGCAGTGGCGTGTCCCTCTACCAGAAGCCACTTCTTTCCTGTGGAGTCCAAAGTTGACCTCCAGGAAGATCTTCCATCTTGACCTTGGACATGTGCCACCCTCCTCAGCGATCTGTCACAGATGAAGTTGAGACTACCCTCTCTGCCGCCCTCCATATACCACATCAGTGCCACTCTACCTTAGGGAAATCTGTGGGACTGAGAACGGTGTTGGTCACTGTGAGGGGCAGGGGCGTTGTGGGGGCCAAAGATGGTGGTGACTGTTTTGTGGAGAGATTTGGAGCTAAAGATGGTGGTGGTTGTGATGTTTATGATGATGGTGATGGTGGTGGTGGTCATGATGGGGATGATGATGGTGATGGTGATGGAACTGGTGACAGTGGTGATAATGAATATGGTGGGGGTGGTGAGAATGGTGAAATGGTGAGAATGGTGATGGTGATTATGGTGATGATAACAGGGATAACGGTGATGGTGATGATGATGGGAGGGTGTGGTTGTGGGGATGGTGATGGCAGTGTTGATTGTGATGGCGGTGGTGATGGTGGTGGCGATAGTTGCAATGATGATGATGGGGATTGTGATGGTGATGAAGCTGATAATGATGGTGGGGTTGAGTGATGTTGGTCTTAGTGATGCCCAAGACAGCAGCCACCATGATCACCATCACCGGTGACGGTGCTTGTGGGATTGGAAATGATTATCTTGTCAGCTTATTCTGTTCCTCACTCCTATAGACAGTGAGTGTCTGGAGGATGGATGGATGGATGGATGGATGGATGGGTGGAGGGAGGATGGGTGGACGAATGGGGGATGGATGGATAGAAGAAAGGATATGTGAGGACAATGACTAGAATCTCTGAGTCACCTGGGGGTGGAGCTGACAAGAGCAGCAGCCACCCAGGCACTGTGAGTCTCATCAGCACCCACATTCCTGAGATGTGGAGGAGGCTCCTTCTCACCTGACTCTTTTATGATCATTCCCCTTCCTGCCACCGACACAGACAGTCCCGCAGGGGGAGGGAAGCCTAAGAATGTTTCCCCACCTGCTGCCCCAAGTGGCCTTGCCTCTAGGCAGCCAGAGGCTCTTCTGGCAATGCTCTTCACAACTACCTCTCACCCCACTTTCTTGACGCCAATCCAGCAGCAATCAAACTTGCTCTTAGGAAGTTCTTCCTCATGTCTAACCTGAAAGCTTTGTGCTACAGAATGAGAGGGTTCCTGCTCCCCTCAGCAGATTCTACTCCTCAGTTCTCACTCTTCCTCTCCCTCTGTCCTGACTGGCCACCCTCTCATCACTGTCTGGAATGCACCTTGACCATTTAGTGGGACCATCCCCTAATCTCTCATGGATCCTCCTGGTCTCATTTCAGATGAAGATCAGGCCCTCCAGGCTGGCCCCACCCATCCCCTCAGGACCTCCTTCCCACAGGGCCTGACACTGGAGCGGAGCAAATGCATTGTGTGCTTCCTTCTCCTGGATTTGTTCCAGAACCTTCCAGTAGTCAGAAGTGTCCTTTTCAGCCCTGCTCCCTCAACTCCCATCTCCCTGAGATCTGTCCTGAAAGGGGTAGGGAGCTGTGTCTGGAGCAAAGGGTCTGGAGGGCCCCCAGCAGGGGCTTCCTGAGTGTCCCTGAGATGACAGAGCAACTGGTGCCCCACTCAAGAAGCCCAGAAATTGCCACCCACCCCTCCAGCTGGGCCCCAGCTTGCCCTGGGGGATGACCAGGGTCAGGAATGACCAGGCAGTCCTCTTCTGACAGATGACACCCCTGCCCCCTGCCAGACCCCTGCAGGCGCCTTGGCTCTGAGGCACTGTCCTGAGAGGGACCAAGAACCTTTCTGGATCA